AGCCAATGCTGTCAACTCACAGATATCCACACTGGCAGATAAATGCACTGAATTGAATGATAATTTTTACACTCATATGATTTTTTCAACACTTCTATTTGAATACAACAATCTTCTAATGGCCTTCAATGCAACCCAAACCAAAAGCACTGCCTTCTTTCATCCCACAAACACTTATTCTTACTGGTTTTTTATCAGGACTGCTCAGAGGCCAGCCCTCCAGCCCAGGCAGCTCGGCCTTGCAGTGGGCTCCAACACCTCAGCAAGCTCTTCACTGTCGCAGTCACTCATAAATCGGTTTCTCTGCTCATTATGGTTTGCCTTTTTTGAAGCAGTGTCTTATAGAAGGAAAAACACACAGACATGAATTGAAATCCCACGTGCCATCTTCATCATCCCGCTCTGTACCTTGGACAACTTCCATAGCATCTCTGAACCTCAGATTCTTCAACTGTATAGCAGGGATAATAAAACAAAGCTGGAGAGAGTTATTATGAGGGTTAAACAAAATAACGGACATAAAGCACATAGAAAACTGTGGCCATAGAACATATGGCAACTGTTATAGCAGCAGCAACATTATTTCCGTGCAACCCACACATCCATCTGACACGCAGGTCCGCTCCTGCTGCATCATTATGACGCCAAAGCCCAGCAGTGTCCAGCCTCACATGGACTCTCAAGTGTTTTCAGAACCCAAAGGGGCTTCAAGGTTCAGCTCATGTCCCAAGCCCCCCAACACCCTCCCCCGAAATGCTTTACCGACAGCTCTGGCCCACAAGCTCCCTCCCCTCCCCCCACTTGACCCAGCGCTCTGAGTCCAGCCCATCCACCACCCATGTTTTTTGGGGTTTTTTAAATAAATTTTATTGGGGAACAGTGTGTTTTTCCAGAACCTTTCAGCTCCAAGTCAAGCAGTTGTTTCAATCTAGTTGTGGAGGGCACACTCAGTGGCCCATGTGGGAATCGAACCGGCAACCTTGGTGTTATGAGCACTGCACCCTGCGCTCTAAGCACCTGAGCTAACCCGTTGCCCCGCCCGTGTTTTTTCATGCCCAGTCTAAACAAGAAAATACTCTCCCCCAGGAAAAGAGAGTTAACTATGCCTGTATTTCGGAAATTAAAAAATCTATTTTTAAAATATCGCATTCACTTCATTCATATATTGCTCCATCCTCCCAATCTCACTATGAAAATCCGTTTAGTCTATTTTTCCTACATGGGAAATCTTTAATACTAAAGCTGACAGATAAAAATGGAGCACCCACCAAACTCTAGGAGATACATTTTATTGCTTAAAATTCCTTTCCAGGATACACACAGCTAAGTTTCCATTATTTGTTCCTCTTTTAATACAGTAAAACCTTATATGCATAAAAGTACAGGAAAGTGTGAGCGGTTGTGGTTTTGGAATTCACATCTTTAAACACTACACAGCTCTGAAATCTGCTGTGCACACCATCCCATAGAAGCCACGAACATTCTACAGGACCTGAGCTGCTTCCGCCCCTACCGCACCTGCAGTGCAATCCTAGGAGGGCTTTCTTCCATGACGCAGGCACAGAAAAATAGTCCACAGGTTCGCCCCTGCCTGGCTGGATGTGCCTACGTGATGGAACACCTAAAGCCTGATGGAAAGGAAAGCAGACAGACACGGGCACCTCACATGCTAAAATCCCCTCACACAAATCAGCGAGACGGCTGCTTTACCAGGCCAGCCACATAAAGTGAGTCACGCAGGCCAAGTAACTAACAAATTATCTTTAATTCAGATAGGTCAGGAACACACGAGTATGTAACTTTTCAATCTTGACTACAACTGCAAGCAAATACACTGCACACAGAAACAGCCACGTGAGCACGGCGTATGTCAAATTATTAGGGCAGCACCTTGGTTAAACCTTCTGCCACTGAAACTGATCCAAGTGCAGAATACCCCAGTGGATCAAATCCCCACTGCAAACCACAACCATGTCACAGCATCGTGGAAAGGAGCAAAGAACAGGAGCAACTGCCAGTCCAATGCGGGCAATTTTGTCCCAGGGCAGGCAAAAGTGTATGGGCCCTTGTCATTGTCCAGTCAGGCTCCGAGAGTCATCCTGGGAACACACCTGATGTGATGGGGTGAACAGTCACATACTCAGGCTAGAGCCAAGGGAAGCACGATGCCTTCATGTCACACAGGAGAGAAAAACAGCTTCTCCACAGCTAGAATGTGGCCGAATCTTTTTGCGTTACCCAGAAAAAAACTGTAAATTCTAACTATTTCTCAAGGCCCTGCTCAAAAGTCATCTTCACCAGAAAATCTGTGGTAAACCTCACCCTGAATTCCTCCAAGGACCCCAAGCTTTCTTCTGTACTTAACTGAAATGCAGTGGAGAAAGCTATCCAGGTGTACACCTCGCCCTCACTGCTGGACCGTGGGCTCCGTGGCTGTACCGTCATTCATCTTGCCCCACAGTGGCGAGCACACACACAGCACGCATGAACGGCAGAGACACAATAAATATCTGCTGACGGCATGTGTGTTTTCAAAACGTGTGTGTGTGTTTTCAAATCTTAACTGTGAAACAGAAATAAAAAAACACTGTCTCTGGACTCATGAGTCAGACTAGTAACCGAATTTAAGGGTACTGAGTGAGACCGTAAGAACTGGAAAGAAATTAATGCAGTAAATAGGGTATGAGGTGCGTTAACATCCTATTTATATACGTGGCATTCACCATTTTCAAAGCCCTTTCAAAAACAGATTCCTATAGATTCTCACAACAACTCTGAAAGAAGGAATTATGTCAATTTAACCATGAGTGAACTGATGCTATGGACAGGACCAAACCAGCTAGTTAAGTGCCAGAGCTAGAGCATCTTGGAATAGAGATGGAAAAACAGGAACAGAAGGGGGAAAGAACAGGCCATCACCATGGGCAATGAAACACAGTCCTTGTGTGTATCCATCACTATGATGCCACAGTGGTGACCACAAATCTACCAAATGTCACTTTTTATGAACTGATAAGATAAAAAATTTACAGGGACTTTAATCCAAAATTAGCCAGATTTTCTCACTAGAATTAGTATATAGATTCTTAAATCTGTTAAATCCCATATAAATGTTTTACAATCAAAAGTGGTTTTGAAATCTCTCCTGAGTTTAAGAAAGCTGATCTTTACCATGCATAGTGATGCAAAAAGAAAACCAGGCTTGGCAGTCCAGCAGTAGCTCGGGGTCTTCTAGAAGGAGGGTGAGCCACGGGGAGGAGGGTGAAGGCCAAATCTAGATTTTCAGACTCACCACAGAGCACAACAGAAAACTAAGATTCAACTGTAAGGGAGATCATTCTTATAATCCAGAAACTCCCATTCTTTTTGGAATTGTGACATATTTCATGCAGTATTTTTAGGAAAGAGAAAAGATGATAAAGCACATTAGATTTAAATTTTTTAGAATATTTTAATAACACTTGAGAAACTAAATATACATTCTTAAGCAGAGCCCTCCACAATGTGTTAAACAGCAGAGTTTAAGTCGAAATATCTGTGAGGGTGAAGAAGGAGGAGAGAGGGGGCATGTTTCAGATGTCATTTAGAAGCCAAATACAGTGGGAGGTCGTGCTAACAGCTGGACTTGGGGACAAGGCAAAGGCAGGGAGACTTCTGAGTTGTAGCATGACTGGCTGTCTGGTCCTGGGGAGAAGACAGAGAGTGGAAGAGGTCTGGTGGCTGAAGGGGCAGTTCTCCTGAGTGAGCTACCGTTTGAGATGCCTAGTAACTGATGCCCAATTTTGTATCACACATATCAAGTCGAAGAATGGAGTCTGGAACTAAGAGGATGAAGGTAGGCAGGAGATATACACTGGGGAGTCACCAGCATGCAGGTGGATGGATTTAAAGCCAACCTAGAGAGATCATCTAGAAAAAGATGCACGCCTGGGGTCCTCGAACATTTAAAGATGAAGTGAAAACAGGCAGAGCCAGCAAAGAAGGGTGGAAAGTAGCAGCCAGAACAGTAAGAGGAAAACCAGGAGAGAGCAGTGTCCTGGAAAGCAAGAGAAAGTAACATTTCAGCTCCACTGAATGCCACCAAGACATCAATTACAATAAAGTGACCTATGGGTTAGTAATGTGAGGCCGCTGGGAACTTAACCATTTCAAGTAGCGGGGTGGGGAAAGAAGCCACACTGACGTGGGCTAACAAGTTAAAAGTAATTAAAATAAAATGACATTTTAAACAATGGGAGGTGAGGAAGTTAAGGCCGCAAGAATAGACAATCTCCCAATGAGTTTCAGCACCCACACAAGCAGATAACTGTCATAAAGCATTACCAGTGTGGCCACAGGAGGAAGGCTGTTCAGTGCACAGTAGGGGCAAGCAGGGGACACAGGTCAGCAAAGGCTTCTCTGGGAAGAAGTAACCAAATCCAAGAGTCCAGGTGAGGCCATTCCTACAGTGGATGTGTCCCCACAATGAAACTAATTCCACCAAACGTGCATGACTGTCTATCTGCTCTTAAGTGAAGAAAATCCTGCTAAATGAAGAATCAGTACTAACCATGACTAAGTTGTATGACATCGATAATCTCTCTAAGAAATTGTTTTCTACAAGAAAAACATTCCCAAGTTTTTCGGTTGTGAAATTGGCAAATACGAGACCTGACATCTGTGATTGGCTCTGCCCAGTGGCCAGAGACAGAGTCACAACGCCCCAGCAGTTTCTCACGGGAGCTCCCAGGGGTCAGGTGGGGTGGGCACCGGGTTCGCTCAGGGCGCAGAAGGCAGTGCAGATACAGTAACTAAGCAACGGGCCCGGTGTCGGCCCAACCACTTTCCCACCCGAACCCGGAAGGCAGAATTCATGGCCTGAGAAGTCTCACTTGGCAGCAAGTCTAAGAAATAGAAATAAAGGAACTTTTGAGTCAGTGGAAGGAAAGGGTGAGGTGGGGTGGGAAGGGACGCTCAAAACTGCCACTAGAAGTGCCCAGTGAGAGGAAACCGCAGCTCACCTCGCTGTTGTGGCCCCGCAGGTTGAAGTTGATTCTCTGGGGAGTGTTCCTGTCCCGGCGGCAGTGGCTCGAGGTGAAGGTCACCCCGACGACGCCGCGGCCGTTGCCCGTGGCCAGCCAGCCCTCCTCGTAGTAGCGCCTCCGGCACACGGGCTTCTCCTTCTCGCTCTTGGGGACGCGCCCCTTCCACGACAGGCAGAGGATGTTGGAGTCGCTGCAAAGAACAGGCCCCTGTTCCACCGCCGCATACATACTTTTTGTCAGTGAACTGTTTTCCTTAAAAAGTAATGCTGAATGCTGAAAAATTTAAACCAATTCCTTTCATTGATCTGTTCTATTTTTGTGGTTTGTTTGCAGTTGTTTTCCCCGACTCCCTTTAATTAAGATTGACCTGGATCTAATTAGAAGGTTCGTATTGTATAAAGATCCACCAAATGCATAGTGAAAAAATTCCTCTATAAAAGATGATGGCAGTCGGCTAAGAAAAGGTAATGCTTAAAAAAACGTGGGGTCCATTTTTATTTTCAAGTCCTTAGAGGAAGAGCGGGATGACCCTTTGGAGAAAGAGCATCGTTAATACGTGGAGATCAAGAAACTGAAGTTTCTTCTTTTGACTCAACTTGGTTATTCTCATTCAGCCTGAGATTCCAGTTTAGTGTAATATGATTCCAGAGACCAAGGGTTGCAAATACATAGATTTCAAGTAACTTAAGGCTTTAAGAATCCCTCGAGCTAGAATTTTCTCGTCAAAAGTTCAGATGGAGACAGGACACAGGGGATTATCCTCCTTCTGAAGCTGTCCTCTGGCGTGTTTTCTCAACTAGACAAATTTCTGCTGCTAAAGCTGAAAAAGATTGCATAAAGGGAAAAAAAGGCACACAAACCGTGCAAAACGACCAGAGTTTGTGCAGACAGCAGTCCAAGTTTAGAAAGAAAAGAAGGCTCTTTCCCGCTGTTCAGAACCAGAAACGTCCCAGCTCAGAGCGCAACCCGGTTTCCTGGCAGGTGGCTGTGTCCCCGGGGAGCGCTGGGCTCCATCTGACCGACAGTCCGCGCACAGGCCCACACAGTGCTCAGTGCCATACAGGCAGAGAGACAGGCTCCTGCACGCGGCAGAGCCAGAACCTTCTGAAGCTCGGAAAGTGGTCCAAGGGTTTGCTTTGGGGAGTCCTGAATCCTCTCGCTGACAAAACGGAGCTTCACTGCAGGACTCAGTCTCTTTTGCCCCCGTCTCCTTCCTCCTCACCTAATCAATTCTCCCCTTTCGGCTCCTGAAGATCACATATTTTTTCATCTTGAAGGAAGAAAACTAATCTCAGAATTAAGTCCATCAAGTAATCCTCCTCTTCTATGCAAGTCTTCCTGGACTCACTCAAGAGAAAAGAGAATCCCCAAAAACGAAAACACAGCAAGGTTGGGTTCTTCCCCACTGCTTCCCTAAAGGGTTACCACAGTTTGCTTGTGGGCCCTTTCCTGAAGTTCACATTCAGAGAACGCTTCCAAACGCCACACGTACAGTCCAAAGCAAGGAAGCTTTGCCTGGATGTTCCTTGGTATTTATTTTGTAATTATCGGTTTAATTGCTACCTTAGGATATTATCCTATTAGATACAGAAAAGGAAAAGGGAAATAATAAATTACACTTTCTCGAGTACAGTCGACTGAAAAGGCAAAGGAAACAGTTCCTTGTTCACACTTGTCCTATCAAACCGGCGCTGGCTTTGCTCCAGCCACAGCCGCACAGTAAGAGTTATTGTCAGTCCAGAATTTTAAAGTCTGTCCAAATCATCAAACTGACTGAAAAATAAAGTGCAAAAAACACTGCCTGATCCCACCTGCAATGCTCGAAATCACACTTTTCCCTCAGTCACTGTCTCACTTAGCTCTTTCTTTAAGCTGGAGAGGTATTTTTGAGGCTTGATCTATGCAAGTTTTTTCTTCTTTTTGCAAACTTTCTTTACCCGTGAAGACCTTATGGAAAATTGGCCATTAGTGATGTATTTTTCTCCCTGGGCTCCTAAGCCCAGTGGTGTCAAGTTGCTCCATGTAAATCTTAAATTAATTTTCATCAGATGTAAAACTCTTCAAGTGTGTACCAGAACGAGCCTGTCTTCTTGTGTAAATGTGTACTTATATAAAGGAGGTTTTAAATATACACAGATGTATACTCTTCAACTGGCACACATAGCGTCTGCTTTCCCAGTCATTTCAGGAACCATCTGATTAATCACAGCTTGAAGGCCCTGGAGTCTTACAAATCTGTAAAACAAAACAGGATAAAAAAAAATAAAAAATAAAAAAACTTTAAAATGCCGAGGAATAAATGTGCTAACAGAATAATCGCTATAATTGAAACTCAAGACCCATCTTTACACTTAACATATATCAAATGGAGCTAGTGATTGGTAAAATAGCAAAAGAGCATACCTCACCAACTTACAGACAACATATAACATGAGGAGTCTGAATGCCTTATACCATTTATTAAATTTGCCAGTAAGTAGCTGGGCGTATCCGAATGAAACCATTGCCTCCGTTCTCCCACACTTTGCTGCCTTTTCTAAGATTCTGGGCCCTGAATGTGCAACTTGAGCGCTCCAGAGGCCACGATCCTGGTTAAGCAGACTGAAGAGGCTCAGGCAAGTTATGTGAATTGATCTTTTTCACTCTCGGTAAAAGATGCTCCCTGAGGACACATGGCAGCAAGGGCCTTTAAAACCCCTCCATCCCTGACTGGAGACAGGTCACAGCGCAAAGCACACTGTCTTCTCAGCTTTTAAAGTGTCTACTAGCGAGAAAGTCCGACGGAATCTATCTCCAGCAAATCCATCCTCTCCTCCTGCCTACCGCCCTCAGTCCAGTCCCGCCTCCCATCCACAGAAACCCCAGATGGCTCAGTCCCTAACTTTCCCACACCATTCACCCTTCCAGAGGACTCTGAGTGACCTTTATAAAATTCAAGACTGCTCAAAGAGCCTGGACTGTTCTGTCCCGGCCTGGGCAAGCCCCTGGAGGGCCAGTGAAACAGAGAGCCTATCCCCACCCAAAATAACTGACCCTGACAGTCTAAGGCTGGACCCAGGTATGTGCATTTCTAACAAGTTCCCCAGAGATGCTAATGCAGCTGGTCTGAGGACCAGGCTTTAAGAACCACTCATCTTTGGGATCAAGTCCAAGCAAGGCCACTTATGATCTGATTTCAACTTGCCCTCGTCTCCTGCAACAACCTCTACACCCAGCCTGTGTTACCACCGTGGCATCCGGCCACTTCCTGTCCCCCAAAGTACTGTGTTCTTCCCCTCCTTCATGTTTCCACTCCTGCTGCTCCCTTGCCAAGCTGGCCCCGGCACTTCCTTTAAAACCCACCTACAATAGCACCTCTCCTGTGACGCTTCCCAGAATACCTTGCTACCTTCTAGGACGGCACTCATCACACGCATTCCACCGCTCTTCTCTGCTCCCAGAAGCCAGAAACCTATCTTTCTTGTCCCTGGTGTGGAGCATAAACTAGGTACTCAGTAAAAGCAGGAAGAGGCAGGAAGGAGCAAGGCAGATGCTACACATAATTTCCTTGAGAAACCCTAATTCAGATGAGTCATGGTATATATATTTTGTATGTACCAATAAAGCAAAACAACGATAATCTCTCAGGAAGCGCCTGTACCTGAGGAAAAGTGAAAACAAATGCTATTAGGAAATTCAAATGAATGCCATGTTCTTTCTCCTAAAAGGCTAAAGCCACTGAGTAATAAATACTACCTTAAATCCTTATTCTGGCCTGGGGCAATGTCAGATGGGAAGAGCAAAAGCAGCTTCTCAAGACCCAGCTATATACACACACGGGTTTTAAACTATTTAAGAGCATAATCTGTGATCATTAAAGCATCTACATTAAATACGACACTGTAAACTGTAAGTTCCCTATAAGGTCAAAATTATTTTCATAATGATACTAAAACTTTATTTGTCTTCTTCACTGTGTTGACAATTTGCACCAATGGTACAAAAGTGATAGTGGGTCAAACTGTCAGCTCTTTAGCACCATTGGTACCAAACTGTACCAATTTTTGAATTTTTTTAAAATGCAAGCTTCACTTAACAATGTTCTTGATGTAGCAGGAAAAATTACTAATTTTATTAAATCTTGACCACTGTGTACACAGCTATTTAAAATTCTGTGTTTCTAAGTAGCAATTACACATAAAGCATTTTGGCCGACTACTGAAGTACAACAGTAACCCTGAGAAAAAGCACGTTGGGCTACAGTTTAAGTTGCAAGCTGAACAAGTTGCTTTTTTCATGGAATACCATGTTTACAGAAAGAACAAATGACAACGGTAATTGCGGTTTAGGTCCTGGGCCAACATTTTCTTGAACATGAACAGAATGAACCTGTCCCTTTAAGGAAACTGACAGTATTTGTTGCCCATAATAAAAGTTGAACTTCCAAGTTAAAATTAGAATTTTGGGAAAACCAGTATCTATCACTGTGAGCTTGATAGCTCCCCAAGAGTTAAAGACTTTCTGCATGCACCTGGAGGTAATATTAACAAGTGGGAACTTTTATATTGTAGTTCATATTTCAGTGTCAATATTTGGAAGATTTGCATAACTTGATGAACCAATATTTTCCAAATTCACCAATCATGATACAAATTATGCTTGAGTAAAAGAGCCATTCAAGGTGCAAGAAAGAAAAATGGATTTTAATATAACCAAAAAATTCACTTATATGTTTAAAATTCTATACTGCTACTAACCTTTAAGAAACTACCGCTTGTTGAGTTTTGGTATAGTATCAAAGTAAAATATGCACGATTATCTGAAAGTCTATTAAAATACTCCTTCCTTCCAATTATCTATCTAAGGTTAGATTTCCTTCATACATTTCACCAAAAACAAATTGCAACAGACTGAATGCAGGAGCAGATAAGAGAATCCAGCTATCTTTCACTACTTCAGGGATTAAAGATAATTCACCAAAACGTAAAATAAGATCACTCTTCTCAGTAAATTTTTTGTTAGTATATAGTTACTTTTCATAAAAATACATTATTTATAATATTTGTTTTAATTTTTAATATTTTAATATAAACAGCTAACACCCACATAAACAAATGTTCTTTTGAGTCTTAAATAATTTTTTTAAGAATATAAAGGGGCCTTGATAGCAAACAGTTTGAAAATCACTGATGTATGCTAACTCTCCAAAGCGTAAGCCTTAAATTACTAATGTAGGATAAATTTCCATAGTAAAAGCACAGACAAAAGTGTTTCATTTTACATATGTTGCTATTGTTTAACCAAACATTTAAAATTATAAAGTACCATAATGCTAGACATATAAGGCAGATATTTTAAGAAAAAATGACATGCAACTTTATTATGACTCAAATGGATAATGGCTACAAAAATCTAACAACAAAAAACCACAATCATAGTATCCTAATTACTGAAAGGCCGGCTCCTATTTTAGCGCTACCATTAATAGAAATGGGTGATGTTGGACCCTTCCCTTCTTTGTCTTACTTTCTCATAAGGATGAGAAAATGAGAAAACAACTGATTAACTAGCTTCTGAAAGGAAGTTTGCTGTCAAATCAACACTAGGAAAAGGGTTTAGTACAGAATGATTAAAAAGCAACTATTCAGTTGAAAGCAGGGACTCAGATATCTGTTCGCCCATGTTCATAGCAGCATTACTGACAATGGCCAAAAGGTGGAAGAGGGCCGGCTGAGTGGTTCAGTTGGTTAAGAGCACGAGCTCTGAGAAACAGGGACGCCGGTTCGACTCCCACATGGGCCAATGAGTTGCGCCTGAGCTGAGCTGCCAACAGGTGGCAGGATGGCTTAGCTGGTGAGAGCACGTTCTCCTAACAACAAGGTTGCCAGTTCAATTCCTGCATGGGATGGGGGAGGCTACACCCACCCACAACTAAGATTGCACACGGCACCTTGAGCTGAGCTGCCCTGAGCTGCCAACAGGCGGCCAGATGGCGACTGGACTTGGAGCTGAGCTAGCTGCGCCCTCCACAACTAAGACTGAAGGACAACAACTTGGCTGTTCCCCTCTCCCAATTACCCAGAAAATCTTAAAAAAAAAAAAAAAGGTGGAAGAAATCCAAGTGCCCATCAACAGAGAAATGGATAAATGAAATATTAGTCAGCCTTAAAAAGAAATAAAATTCTATCTGATACATGCTATGGGTGAACCTTGAAGACATTATGCTAAGTGAAATAATCCAGACATAAGGACAAATATTGTAGGATTCCACTTACGTAAAGAAACTAGACTAGTAAAATTCACAGAGACAGAAGTAGAATAGTGGTTGCCAGGGCATGGGAGTGAGGAGAATGGAGAATTATTATCTAATGAGTATAGAGTTTCAGTTTGGGAAGATAAAAAAATTTGGAGATGGTTGCATAATAATGTGAATATACTTAAGGCCATTGAATTTACTTAAAAATGATAAAAATGGTATATTTTGTTACATATATTTCATCTCAATTTTAAAAATCAGATAATTAAGAAAAGCAACTATTCAACAGTCTTTCAATGACAAATTGAAAGTAAATAGTCCTCAGTTCGTCATGATATTTTTTATCTGAAATATTGTAATACAGGCCCGTGAGTCATCCCTGGAGCTTTTCATCCGAGTATGAAAAGCAGAGCTTGTTAGCTCATAGTAATTAGGATGCTATGATTGCTAACCTCCGAATTCTGGTCCATACCTGCTTTTGGTAACTGCCGCTTATTTTCAGACTATTCCTACAAAACACTGAAAAACCCATTTCTGCTTTTCCGCGAGTACAATCTTAAAACAAGTGACACATGAGCCTGATTGAATTACTAACCTGATAGTGGTCTAGGAGTCAGTAAACTCCTAAGGCGCTTTCCACTTGAACTTTCCATACTATCCAGTTCTAATGGCAAATTGGGAGTCCCAGAATGAGGGAAAATATACCTTAGGGATAGAATGGTACATTGTTGAAGAAAGGAAATAGAAACGCTATATTGTATAGGAATTATAGATATTCCTGGATTAATTAACCAACAAATTTTAACTGATCATCTATTATGCAAAAGGCCCCTGTGCTGTATTCACTGCCTCTGTCATCCCCAATTAGAAATTCTACTTTCTAACTAGTTATTTTCACTAGTTTGTTTTATCAGATTCCTACTTTCCACCAACATGAATAAAATTCACTAGTGAGGGGAATAAAAATGCACTTTTGGCTTTGCTTTTTGTTTTAAATCAT